TCACATGGTGGTGCTCTTTTGTTAGTTCACACTTTCGTTAATATAAGTTCACAAGGCCGTTAATATAAGCTTAAATAATATTCTACACAAGATCAAAAACGTCTACTGACCTTGGTGTTCTGAAAAGGATTGTCTACTTGTTTATGATTGAGGGTGGTTTTCTTTTTCTTTCCGAAAAAAATGTAAACCAGCTCCCACAAATCTACTGCTACTGGAAGTAACGGTGTACACAAATCTTTCAACTAAAAGAATCCGCCCATTGTCGATATATTTTTAATTAATTTCAGTCATCAATGTCAATTGCTGTTAAAGCTCTAGAATTAAGTAAAAATAATTCAAATTTAACACATAAAATATTTTTTCTCTTTTTTAAGATGTTGAATACATTGACAATTATTATTTATTTAAAAAATGAAGCAGCCGCGAACCTGGTATAAATTTAACACACCTAGTGAGTATATGGTTACTGATGATAGTACAAACATGTATCTATACAACATTCAACGTTGATGATTTTAATATAAATCATCAAACATTACTAAAAATATTAATTGAATATGTTTATCGTTACATTCAATCATGTCCAAATAGTTATGTTAGCGCTATAATTATTGAAAATCCATTACCCGTATTTGGTTTGATTACAAATGAAATATTATCAGTATTATCGAATTTATCGGATAAAACAATTCTTATTCCATACTTTATCAGTCTTGGTTATTCTGAAATTATTTTAAAATTTTTAAATGTGTCATCAAAAATAAATGATGAAAATTAACATGCTATTTTAAATATTATTCAAAATCTATCACAATATGATGATGGTGCAAATGAATTAAATGATGGATATAAAATAATAAAAAATTATGAAAAAAACGATGATTGAAAAATAATCGTCTTATGTTGTATGATCATTGTAGTATTAGCAATACATGATCCAATAAACGCCCCTGTAACTGAAAAACCATTATAGCTAGGGAGTTCTAATTTTGTGTGGTCATAGCTCTTACCGAATGTTGATGACTCACCAAGTTTGAGCTTCTTTTACTGGTTGATTCGTGAGACCAAAAAAGATAAAAAACGTATGAATCATATATTAGATCCATTATTACTAATGATAATTAATTCATCAAATTCACAACATTATCGTTTTGATAGTTTTCATATATCTGAATCATTGGTTGTTTTAGCTAAATTATTTGTTGATGATAATGTCTTAGACTATATATTAAAACATGCACAAGTTGATTTATCAACGTCATCATCAATTATGCATTTTTTTTGTGATAGATTAATAAATTTTTTGTAATTCATCCACAAGTAAAAGTGATCAATTTAAACAATTAACGTGTATAGTATTGACTAATGTAATACGAAGTATATCATTACATAATGACTATACTAAACAATTAAAAAGACGTCAGGATTTAAAAGAAATAATAAAAACTTTTGCAAATATTGCTACTGATAATAATAATAGTATCATGTTAATTGAATAATATATACCAAAAAATATGTCAAATATAAAGAAAGCTGTGGATGGTATTCTATGCGATCTTGAAGATATTATTGACGTCAATACGATAGTAAATAATGATATATCATCATCAGTAATAAGTATAAATAATAGTGAGGATAGTAATAAAAATCACAACAACAAAAACCAATGGCTATGATCAGTTATTCCCATGGTAATAAAATATTTTGTCGAAAATTAATTGGTACATTACAAAATAATAAACAACAACAATTTGATATATGAACTGATTTTAATAATTGTAAAACGGGTGATATATGGGAAAAAATAGCTATTGGTATGCGAGAAGCCAATATTATTCTATGTATAATATAGGATGATTATTATAAAAGTCGTTCTTGCGACACGAGATATCGCATGCAATAGATCATGTACAAAAATCAATTATATCAGTATTAATTTAAAATTATAAAGCATTAGATTGGTTAAAATAAAAATGTCGAAAGTAAAAATAGCGAAATTTTAAAATGTCGAAAGATAGAAATATCGAAAGTAAAAATTGAGAAACGTAAACATGTCGAAGGTAAATATATCGAAAGATAAATATGTCGACGAGAACAATATCGAAAGGTAAATATGTAGAAGACTAAAAATAGTTAAAAGTTACAGTTGTGGAAACGTGTACGGTGAAAGCATCTAATAATGAAGAGCAGAAAAATTGACACCGCGTACATTTTATGTATCGAGAAAAATAGACACATTTTTCTTATAGAAATTTTTGCTGTTAGACTACTGTCTGTACCAAAATAGAATGAACTCTGTTGTTTTTTTAATAACTTTTGATAGAAGCCAGCTAGAGAGCTCCGGCTTTCACCATAAGAAAGCGGAGGCTTGGGGCATGTTTTCATAAGCAGAAACTTTTTCAGAAGTGTTTCCTAAAACAGCTTTTCTAGGAGATCTTTGAAAAACCAGGCCGCGTGTAAAAACTTTTTAATAGGATTGTATTGATTTTCCTCCATGGTCTGATAGTCCAAGGTGTCTTCTTCAAAATGAGAGTAGAGGGAAATCTTGATTTTCTGCGGCTCTAGTGTTGTGTCGGATTTCCTACGAGTCCCAGGACTGGCACCCAGTGACCATTGATAGTCTTGAAAACGGATGGACTATAGGTAATCGATCATGCTGAGTCTTGTGGCAGTAGTTATTTCTAGAAAAAGTTCTAAAAATCTACCGAAAAGCCAGTTTTACGAAAATTTGGGTTTCCCGGCTGTTTTCACCTAATATTAAAAGATTCACTATTCGCTCAATAAACATTAGAACGAGTTCAAAACTTCAGGATATGATTAATTTTCTCCGCGAAACATGATTATAAGACCGAAAACTCGAAAAAGCATATTTTGGTTATTGGGTTTTCCAGAAAACCTTAGGGTTTTGTAAAATTTCTTTTGAGATCTCCGATAAATAGGATATAGAATAACTTAAAAGCTCTACATTCTGAAAATTTGAACTCGTTGTAATGTTTATTGAGCGAATAGTGAATCTTTTAATATTAGGTGAAAACAGCCGGGAAACCCAAATTTTCGTAAAACTGGCTTTTCGGTAGATTTTTAGAACTTTTTCTAGAAATAACTACTGCCACAAGACTCAGCATGATCGATTACCTATAGTCCATCCGTTTTCAAGACTATCAATGGTCACTGGGTGCCAGTCCTGGGACTCGTAGGAAATCCGACACAACACTAGAGCCGCAGAAAATCAAGATTTCCCTCTACTCTCATTTTGAAGAAGACACCTTGGACTATCAGACCATGGAGGAAAATCAATACAATCCTATTAAAAAGTTTTTACACGCGGCCTGGTTTTTCAAAGATCTCCTAGAAAAGCTGTTTTAGGAAACACTTCTGAAAAAGTTTCTGCTTATGAAAACATGCCCCAAGCCTCCGCTTTCTTATGGTGAAAGCCGGAGCTCTCTAGCTGGCTTCTATCAAAAGTTATTAAAAAAACAACAGAGTTCATTCTATTTTGGTACAGACAGTAGTCTAACAGCAAAAATTTCTATAAGAAAAATGTGTCTATTTTTCTCGATACATAAAATGTACGCGGTGTCAATTTTTCTGCTCTTCATTATTAGATGCTTTCACCGTACACGTTTCCACAACTGTAACTTTTAACTATTTTTAGTCTTCTACATATTTACCTTTCGATATTGTTCTCGTCGACATATTTATCTTTCGATATATTTACCTTCGACATGTTTACGTTTCTCAATTTTTACTTTCGATATTTCTATCTTTCGACATTTTAAAATTTCGCTATTTTTACTTTCGACATTTTTATTTTAACCAATCTAATGCTTTATAATTTTAAATTAATACTGATATAATTGATTTTTGTACATGATCTATTGCATGCGATATCTCGTGTCGCAAGAACGACTTTTATAATAATCATCCTATATTATACATAGAATAATATTGGCTTCTCGCATACCAATAGCTATTTTTTCCCATATATCACCCGTTTTACAATTATTAAAATCAGTTCATATATCAAATTGTTGTTGTTTATTATTTTGTAATGTACCAATTAATTTTCGACAAAATATTTTATTACCATGGGAATAACTGATCATAGCCATTGGTTTTTGTTGTTGTGATTTTTATTACTATCCTCACTATTATTTATACTTATTACTGATGATGATATATCATTATTTACTATCGTATTGACGTCAATAATATCTTCAAGATCGCATAGAATACCATCCACAGCTTTCTTTATATTTGACATATTTTTTGGTATATATTATTCAATTAACATGATACTATTATTATTATCAGTAGCAATATTTGCAAAAGTTTTTATTATTTCTTTTAAATCCTGACGTCTTTTTAATTGTTTAGTATAGTCATTATGTAATGATATACTTCGTATTACATTAGTCAATACTATACACGTTAATTGTTTAAATTGATCACTTTTACTTGTGGATGAATTACAAAAAATTTATTAATCTATCACAAAAAAAATGCATAATTGATGATGACGTTGATAAATCAACTTGTGCATGTTTTAATATATAGTCTAAGACATTATCATCAACAAATAATTTAGCTAAAACAACCAATGATTCAGATATATGAAAACTATCAAAACGATAATGTTGTGAATTTGATGAATTAATTATCATTAGTAATAATGGATCTAATATATGATTCATACGTTTTTTATCTTTTTTGGTCTCACGAATCAACCAGTAAAAGAAGCTCAAACTTGGTGAGTCATCAACATTCGGTAAGAGCTATGACCACACAAAATTAGAACTCCCTAGCTATAATGGTTTTTCAGTTACAGGGGCGTTTATTGGATCATGTATTGCTAATACTACAATGATCATACAACATAAGACGATTATTTTTCAATCATCGTTTTTTTCATAATTTTTTATTATTTTATATCCATCATTTAATTCATTTGCACCATCATCATATTGTGATAGATTTTGAATAATATTTAAAATAGCATGTTAATTTTCATCATTTATTTTTGATGACACATTTAAAAATTTTAAAATAATTTCAGAATAACCAAGACTGATAAAGTATGGAATAAGAATTGTTTTATCCGATAAATTCGATAATACTGATAATATTTCATTTGTAATCAAACCAAATACGGGTAATGGATTTTCAATAATTATAGCGCTAACATAACTATTTGGACATGATTGAATGTAACGATAAACATATTCAATTAATATTTTTAGTAATGTTTGATGATTTATATTAAAATCATCAACGTTGAATGTTGTATAGATACATGTTTGTACTATCATCAGTAACCATATACTCACTAGGTGTGTTAAATTTATACCAGGTTCGCGGCTGCTTCATTTTTTAAATAAATAATAATTGTCAATGTATTCAACATCTTAAAAAAGAGAAAAAATATTTTATGTGTTAAATTTGAATTATTTTTACTTAATTCTAGAGCTTTAACAGCAATTGACATTGATGACTGAAATTAATTAAAAATATATCGACAATGGGCGGATTCTTTTAGTTGAAAGATTTGTGTACACCGTTACTTCCAGTAGCAGTAGATTTGTGGGAGCTGGTTTACATTTTTTTCGGAAAGAAAAAGAAAACCACCCTCAATCATAAACAAGTAGACAATCCTTTTCAGAACACCAAGGTCAGTAGACGTTTTTGATCTTGTGTAGAATATTATTTAAGCTTATATTAACGGCCTTGTGAACTTATATTAACGAAAGTGTGAACTAACAAAAGAGCACCACCATGTGAATTTTGTCTCGATGCAATGAATTTTCTATGAGATGGAAAATGCCCCACCAACTGTTTCAGAGTTACTTTCCCACTTTCTACACAAACAATCACCGAAGGTAACTCCAAATCAATCAAAGCTTCAACTTGCAAACCTCGAATTCAAACTTTGAACATTGTATGAGATAGCTCAGAGTAGTTTAAAACCTGAATTCGGTGGTTGATAGGTGGTTTTCCATGTGGTTGATAGTGTAGATATTGTTGTTTTCCTGTTCCACTCATCGATGATTGCCGACAACAGTACTCGACCACATTCAGCAAAATTAACACAACAGGGAAGAGGCGGATTTGGATCTGAGAGAAAAACAAAAAATAGTCCTAGAACGATCAATTGTGCAACATGAATGAATGTTGTTCCAGTTCTAGTCATTTGGTATCTGTTGAACCATCTCCATTTCTCAACGACATACGAAAATGTTATCTTTCGATTCTAAATACAGCGCAAAATCATCTTAATTATCAACAATAGATACAGTTGGGATATCCGTATTTTCTCCATCTGCGTCATTATTTTAATATCATCACCATATCGAAACTATGAGAGTTCCCTTTTTCATTAATTAATTTTCTGTCGCATGATGTTCTCCCGCTTTGCGCTTCGGGAATGTCATAACAGATTTTCTCTATGTTCATATTTCTTCGTAGCTGAAATCCCAGAAGATCTTTAAATAAGTATGTGAGCAACTGCAAATTCTCTTTTGAAACGCGAAAGCTGCACTAAGGCTCTGGTTTTCTCCCTGAATTATTTTCTTTCGTTTTTTTACGTGGTGCTTCTGTTTTCTTATGTTTCATTTCACATTTTATATTAAATTCTATTTCTCTTTTCATTTCTTTTTATTGCCTTCTAGTATTGAAACCACTTGAGATGGAGATTTCTGATACGAGTAATTTTGAATCAACAAATGCATTGAACACTGCCACCACTGTTGGACAACAGCAAGATGGCATTATTGATCGGTCCGCATTTAACGCCTACACTCAATTACGACAAATAGCTGAAA